AGTACCACATCAGCTGACATCATGCAGTATCACTATAACGCCGGAGAGAAGAAAAAATCAACATTCCCAAGATCTAAGGTTAAATTGTGTGTTTAAGCAACTGGTACATGATGTAGGTCTGTTGCGAGTGGTGTTGCCCAGTGTGATCCTCCCGCGTGTTCCAATATCTATCGGCGCGACAAACCGTGACGTCACACTAAAGCCTGTAGTCACAATTAATGTACATGTGCGCGTAGAGGGTCGCAAGCGAGCGAGTGCAGTCTTTCTCTCGCAACCAGATTGGTGCAAAACTGCATGCAGCTATCGATACTTTTGCGTATATTTGTGCTACGCTATAGAAAAGAAAAGGTAAAACAAAGGCGACCTCTTTTTGATTTTCCAAATCGGTCCGCGGAGGTTCTTCTAATTCGCATAAATGACCCTCTTCTCCAAAATTCATGCGAGTTTCACATGGAATGTTGGAATCTCTGTATCCTTCATTGAAGGAATCGGGTAAACAGATGCCTGTAGAGGCGCACTTGCTCGGAAAGCTTCCTGTTTCCGGTTTGGCGCGCTCAGCTGAAAAAAAAAAAAGAGTGGTGCGCGAGCGGGCCAAAATCCTGCCGCGCCAGCGAGATCTATGTCATTTTGACGTCACAGTGTCGCGCAACAGGTCGGAAACGTGAGCATACTGTGGCCTTAAGGCTTTAACAAAAAAATAATGATTCAGATCCACTCCAAAATTTCAATGGGTTCATCCTTGACTACATCCTTCAAATATTAGCTACGAGTATTTTATTATTTAATTCGTATATTTTATAACTGTTTGAATTATATTCTTTGCCGTAGTGTGGTTGATTTTGCAGTATGTTTTATTATTACGTTATACTGTTAGTACTTCTTTTTTTACATTTTTATTGGAAATGCTTCTGCTGAAGAACACTGAAGACAATTCACTTCAGAAATACTGACAGAGAAAGAATATAGGCATTTCTCCAGTGGAAATGAGGGTCAGTGGAGTAATAGTAGTGTTACCTCGGACATAGTAGCGGACACCAGCTCTGAAACAGCTCCTCCTGGAGATAATGCTCCATTCAAACACCTTTCCATTGATGCAGCTTGACTTCATAGTGATGTCTAGTCAACATATTTGTTAAGCAACAGTACTGACATGAAATAGTAATGAGTCAGTGTTGTATACATTAAAAGAGAACAAATATAACTGATGCCTGTTGATTTAAAGCAGGCAAGATTTTATCAAAACCTCTCTTTTTAATACTATAGCACCTTTATAAGCACTGTATTGTGGACTGTTGTTGTTTTTCTAAATCTGACAGGCAGTTAATGATCATCATAGTCAAGGACAAAAAAATATTTAACAGTATAAAGCCCATGGAACACTTTTAGAAGTCGTATAACTAAGAATATGCCATAAAGGCTCCAATAAACTGGACTAACCTTATGTAATTCTTCACTCAGATAACATGGTGAGTCACACTCATTCACTAAAATAGTATTGTCATTTTATATTTTATGAGCGAAGAAGTAAACTGTGGCAGTTAGACAACAACAGGAAAGGATACAGCCATGGACAGCAGGATACACAAACTTGTGTAACTGTAAGATGAGAACAGTGTTAAGACAATGAAATGCTTCACTGTCATAGATATTCTTCTGAAATAAAACGTAACCTCAGTTCTCTGAATCAAACGAGATGTCTCACAATCAGATAATCCCACCCTGTTCTCTCTGAAGCACATATTCCATCACACAAGTTACGCCCCTGGAAGAAGGCTGTTAATGAGACAATCAATCAATCATTACACTGAACCAAGCAACACTGAACTTCCTTCACATTCATTACTGATGAATGAAATTAGAGAGCTTGAGAGAGATATTTAAACTCTGCCTACTTTCACACCCACACACACCTGGCCAATCACTGCAGAGTAGGCATGATTAGCTGACATTAGCTGGTGCCAATTCTTGTAACAGTGGTTATAAAGAATAAGCTGGCAGTTTCCAGAGGCCTCTGCTGAAGAAATTCAAAAATAATGACTACATACATAATAAATAATAATAAAAACTCTTTTTCATTACCTCTCCCTGTTGTTGTCATTATCATCAGAGAGAAACAATGAAAAGTCTTATACTCATGTTAAAATAGCAATACATTTCAGCGGCCATATATTTGCTCCAGGCTCCTGGTGTTTATAGGCCACTGGTATAGCCGAACCAGTGGGTGTCATGAAGCCAGACTACTGTCCTTCCTATAGTGAAGGCAGCTGAACATGACGACGGTGCCAAACTCTAACTTCATAATTCTCAGAAATGTTACTGAGAAATCTCCATAGTGAGAAGTCAAAATAAATGCTGTGAAAGTAATTTTGTCTTACCTCTGGCTGTGCAATGAATTCCCTCAACAGGTGGCCATTCCAGACAAAGCGCTGATCCGCCTGGAACAAGGAGAGTTACCACATGTTAATACAGACTTAAATACATAGCCAACACCTGGACAGGCCGACTGCAAGGAACATGCAAAAAAAATACTTAAACAAACACATAATTCTAAACATCAGTGAAACATCTGTACATTTAGAATTAGCAATGGAAATAGAATATGTTTTTACTACTGTACAACAAAATACAAAATACATTTGACAAGTGTTTGTGAATTTAACTGTAAATTAACATTATTTCTCTGCCAATCCATTGAACAGAGTAGTGACTAGTGACTTTAGTAGTAGTGGCTACCAAAAGGGAGAAAATGTGCTACTCTGTGTACTACCTGTAGTTGCAGGTGTGGAAGTTATTTGTTCTCTGTTAGTGGTATTAACACTGAAGGATCTTATGACAAATCTACTGATGAACTGTGACTATGAGTGCATTTACTCAGCTCACCTAACCAAGGAATGAACACCAAATGCAGAAGGGCAGAATAGGGAAGCAAGGTTTCAACTCAAAACATCTAATCAGGGTTCCCACTCTTTTTAAGAAATCATTTTCCAGGACCTTTTCTTGACGATACAGGGCAGCACTGGCTCACAACAGTGGTTAGTGTTTATGGGACACTTTTTCTGCATTTTCACAATAGACTTGACACCAAACGTTTGCTTCAGGTGGTATTAACAGCTCTTTACTGACATGGGAGTAGAAATTATTATTTGCAGAATATTTGGTCACTTTAATTAATTTCCAGGTATTTCTATGATTGGAAAACAAGTCTCTAAATTTTCAGGTTTTCCAGATTTTCCAGGATGCATTGAAACCCTGGTAATGAATAGGAACAGAAGACTTATTTTGTTAAAATCGTGAGAAAATCCTATTTTGAACCCAGTATCATCAATTGTATTGAATTGTGAGTTGAGTGTACTGTTGCAACACAACAATAATTTAATTAAACACTAGGGCTGCAATGATTGCTCGAGTAACTCGATTACAAAAAATGATCGAGGAATTTCCTCTGCCTCGAAGC